GAATTATTCTTGGATTAATTCCTGTCACTTTGTCTGGACTACTAGTAGCAGCTTACCTGCAGTATCAACGTGGAAATCAATTAGGTCTATAAAAAATCGTAGATATTTATAATAACTCACCTAGTTTTTTTGATTATCTACAAATAAATACATAAATTCATTATGAAATAATAATTTATAAAAGTAACTAGTTTTTAAATTTCAAGATAGACTAATTAACCTAATTACCAACTAGATTTAGTAACTCCGGGCAGAAGGCACTCATGAGACATTTCTCTAAAAACATGTCGAGATAATCCAAAATCTCTATAATAGCCTCTACTCCTACCAGTTAACCAGCATCTATTTCTACTTCGGACTGCTGCACTATTTCTAGGCATTTCCTGTAATTTTTGTCTCAACTCCATTTTTTCAGCAAAGCTAGTAGTTCCTTTTAAGTTCTCTTTAATTGCTAAACGTTTTAAATAATATTTTTTTTCAAGTTTTTGTCTCTTAATCTCTCTTTGTATCATATTTTTTTTAGCCATGGTATAAGAACCTATTATTTAAATTGTTTGGAAGTATATTAGCTAAAAAAAGGCATGACTGCAATATTTAAATATGAAATGAGTAAATTAACAAAGTAGTACCATGTATTCAATATTTAATTGATGGTACTACCACTATTTATAATTACAGTACCTCTATTTAATAAAGCTCTTGTTCAACATGAGTTAGAATAGTACAGTCAGATTGAGGATAAGCAATACATGTTAATACATACCCCTTCAACATTTGCTCATCATCTAAAAATGATTGATCGGATTGATCGATAGTTCCTTCTGTAACTTTTCCTGCACAGGTTGAGCATGCTCCAGCCCTACAAGAATAAGGAAGCTCAATTCCTTCTTCTTCTGCTGCATCTAAGATATAAGTGTCTTCTGCACAATCAAATGTTACATCAATTCCTTCTTCTGTAGACACTAAATGAATTTTGTAATCAGCCATTCGTTTTTACTCCATAATAAAAGTACATTTGAAACTTAATAAAGCAACATGAATTTGAATAATTATCATATAAATTATACATTAGTTTCATTATGAATAATAGACTGCAAAAGTAAAAAATAGTATAACATTTTAAATATTTTGGCAACATTTTAAACTAAATAGAAGTATATTAGGTTCAAAGTATTTATATAAATTCATACAGTTAAAATTATTTTTATCATTTACATAATGAAATTTAGCAGATTGAAATTATTAACTTTATCATTCAATTACAATTAGACTTTTATAATCATAAACTAATTATGACTTTCATTTTTTCAAAAAAAATAGAGCTAAAGCCTATTTTGAAATTTGACATACCAAGAGTATGCTCACATGAAATTATTCAAGAAATTGAAGCTTTAGTGCAAAGACTATTTTTACAAGTTTGGAGGAGACCCGCAACACTAATGGCCGGCATTATTCAACCTCTACTTTGGCTAGTACTATTTGGAGGCCTTTTCTATAATGCTCCTGTCAATTTATTTACTATTAATACAAGTTATAACTGCTTTTTAAGTTCAGGAATTATAGTATTCACTTCATTTACTGGAGCATTAAATTCAGGCCTTCCTTTAATGTTTGATAGAGAGTTTGGATTTTTAAACAGGTTATTGACAGCACCATTAATCTCTAGAACATCTATTATTTTTTCTTCTGCAACTTTTATGACTTGCTTAAGTTTAATACAAGTTATATTTATAGTAATAGCATCTCTATTTATGGGTAATTCTCCTTTAAGCAGTAATAGCACATTAATTTTTGCCCTTATTGTTTTATTGGTTACTGTAGGTGTTACAATGTTAAGTCTAGGACTATCTTTTACTTTACCAGGTCACATTGAGCTACTTGCGCTTATTTTAGTAGTAAATTTACCATTTTTATTTTCCAGTACAGCTTTAGCGCCACTATATTTTATGCCACCCTGGCTGCAATTAATTGCAAGCCTTAATCCACTAAGCTATGCAATCGAAGGTATTAGGTACCTATACTCCAATACGGATTGGAATTTCAGTGAGTCTGTTATTAAAATTAGTTGGGGGGATATTTCTCTAGGTCAAATAATTTTACTATTATTAGTTTTAGATGTAATAGGAGCTTACATTGTGTCTAATATATTAAAGGCTAAACTTAATTAAAATTAGTACGGAATATAAATTTTAATAAAAAATTTATTAAATTTATTTTACGACTATTTTCACTATATAATACTATTAGTAGTATGGATAATGGAAATGAAAATAGTTTTTCAAAATCAAAGCTATTATAGAAAATGATAAATATTTGTAAGAAAGTCAACAAAGTATGTTCTTATTCATAGGAGGCATGTAGTCAATGGGACTACCATGGTACCGTGTACACACGGTTGTTTTAAATGATCCTGGACGCTTAATTGCAGTTCACCTGATGCATACTGCACTTGTAGCAGGTTGGGCAGGCTCTATGGCATTATACGAATTAGCTGTATTTGATCCTTCAGATCCTGTCTTAAATCCGATGTGGCGACAAGGAATGTTTGTTATGCCATTTATGGCTAGACTAGGTGTAACAGATTCTTGGGGCGGCTGGAGTATTACTGGAGAAAGTGTATCGAATCCCGGGCTATGGAGTTTTGAAGGTGTTGCTTTAACTCATATTGTTCTTTCTGGAATGTTATTTTTAGCTGCTATTTGGCATTGGGTATATTGGGACTTGGAATTATTCAGAGACCCGCGGACTGGTGAACCAGCATTAGATTTACCAAAAATTTTTGGTATTCACTTACTTCTATCTAGTCTACTATGTTTTGGATTTGGTGCTTTTCATGTAACCGGTTTATTTGGTCCTGGCATGTGGGTATCAGATGGTTATGGAGTCACTGGCAAAGTATTACCTGTAGCTCCAGCATGGGGACCAGAAGGATTTAATCCCTTTAATCCTGGTGGAGTTGCGTCTCACCATATTGCTGCAGGTACTGTTGGTATCTTAGCTGGTGTTTTTCATTTAACTGTTAGACCTCCACAAAGACTTTATAGAGCTCTAAGAATGGGCAATATTGAAACAGTACTCTCAAGTAGTATATCTGCTGTTTTCTTCTCCGCATTTGTAACTTGTGGAACAATGTGGTACGGCTCTGCTACTACACCTATTGAACTATTTGGTCCAACTAGATACCAATGGGATAGTGGATATTTTCAGCAAGAGATTGAAAAAAGAGTAGAAAACGCTATTGCTGATGGAGCTGCTCCAAGTGAAGCTTGGTCCAGAATTCCTGACAAATTAGCATTTTATGATTATATTGGTAATAATCCTGCGAAAGGTGGTTTATTCAGAGCAGGTCCTATGAACAAAGGGGATGGAGTAGCTGAAGCTTGGTTGGGTCACCCAGTGTTCCAAGATAAAGAAGGTAGAGAATTAAGCGTTCGCCGAATGCCTGCATTCTTCGAGACTTTTCCAGTTATTTTAGTAGATAAAGATGGTATTATAAGAGCTGATATTCCATTCAGGAGAGCTGAATCTAAATATAGTATTGAACAAGTTGGTGTGACAGCTAGTTTTTACGGCGGAAAACTAAATGGACAAGTATTCAATGATGCTCCTAGTGTCAAAAAATATGCAAGAAAAGCACAACTAGGAGAAGTTTTTGAATTTGATCGAACTACATTAGAATCAGATGGTGTATTTAGAAGTAGTCCAAGAGGCTGGTTTACATTTGGTCATGCAAACTTTGCATTAATCTTTTTCTTTGGACATCTTTGGCATGGTTCAAGAACTATTTTCCGAGATGTATTTGCTGGAATTGGTGCTGAGGTGACTGAACAAGTTGAATTTGGAGCATTCCAAAAATTAGGAGATAGAAGCAGTAAAAAGCAAGGAGCAGTATAAAATTCCATTGCATAATGTCACTATTCAATATTTACAATATTGAAATCATTTAGAAAAAGTTGATTATTTAATAATTACTAATCAGGAGAATTTATGGAAGCCTTAGTTTATGTCTTTTTATTAACAGGAACACTAATGGTTATATTCTTTGCTATCTTTTTTAGAGAGCCACCAAGAATAGCTAAATAAAATCATTAGGCTCAACCCTACAATAATAGAACCACTTTCCAGCTTATTAGTGGAAAGTGGTTCTATTGTAGGTTAATGCATATTACTCTTCATGCTCTTCAAAAGGGTCTCTGAGATCCTTAGAAGCAGGACCAAATGCTGTATATATTGAGTAACCTGTAATACCTAGAAGTAAACTTGAAATAAAAATACTAAGAACTGTTGCAGTTTCCATAATTCAAACAGTATTAAGATGAACTTTTTCTATAATAATATTATTAATATTAAAACATTTAATTATTAAATTAATCAAAATATATTATGGCACTTAGAACTAGACTGGGAGAAATTTTAAGACCTTTAAATTCAGAATATGGAAAAGTTGCACCAGGTTGGGGTACAACTCCCATTATGGGAATTTTCATGCTGTTATTTTTCTTATTTTTACTGATAATTTTACAAATATATAATTCATCATTAGTGCTAGAAAATGTAGATGTAGATTGGGCTACTTTAGGTAGCTAAGTGTAGCAATTCTTAAATGAACAGTTTAAATAATATTATACACAATCATAAAATATTATTTAAAACGACCGCTCTTATTACAAGAGCGGTCGTTTTAGAATACTATTTGAAGTTGATTATTTTCCTAAATCAATTAATTCATTATCTGCAAAGCTATTAGTATTAACATTATTATAATTAACTTTTTCAAATCGTACTAAAACAGGATATTTAATGCCACTTTTATCCATTGCTGCAACAGTTCCAATTTCTTGGTACCAGTATGACTCCTTTCTTAAAATTTTCACTTTAGAACCTCTTTCCATTTTTAATTCCTTAGATAAATTATTGAACATCAATATATTTTCAAAATAACTAAACTGTTTAAAAACATATAAAATAATTACCGACAAGACTTTAATTTTGATAATAAAAGGAGAGAGAGGGATTCGAACCCTCGATAGCTTAAGCTATGACAATTTTCGAGATTGTTGCAATCAACCACTCTGCCATCTCTCCGGAGATAAGAAATTTTTCTTTAAATTAAACTAGGGTATCACAGAATAAAAGTAGTTGCCTAGAAATTTAAAACTATGTTAAATATAAATTATAATCCTGCTATAAATATCTTTACAAGTTATGTAAATAATATGTATATCAGGTTATTAAAAGATTTTTAAATCTGATAATTTTTTTACTAAATAAATAAACGCTCTCATAATATGAAACTATCTTGGAAAACACTTCTGCTTTGGTCTTTACCAATCTTTGTAGTTGGTTTCTTTTTCTGGCAAGGTTTTTTAGGCCCAACTACTACAGATGTAGGAAGTAATATTGCAAGTTCTAGAATGACATATGGACGATTTCTAGAATATTTAGATATGGGTTGGGTAAAACGAGTTGATTTGTATGAAAATAACCATACAGCAATCGTCGAAGCCGTTGGACCAGAGTTAGGTAATAGAGTACAACGTATTCGAGTTGAACTGCCAGCAAGCGCACCAGAATTAATTACAAAACTACGTAAAGCTAACGTTGATTTAGATGCTCATCCTCCAAAAAGTACTAGCGCCGTTTGGGGATTATTAGGAAACCTATTATTCCCACTACTATTAGTTGGTGGCTTAGCATTTTTATTTAGAAGATCTAATAATGCAAGTGGCGGTCCTGGACAAGCAATGTCATTTGGTAAGTCAAAAGCTCTTTTTCAAATGGAAGCTAAAACAGGCGTAGTATTTAATGATGTTGCTGGTGTTGAGGAAGCAAAAGAAGAATTTCAAGAAGTAGTGACTTTTTTAAAACAACCAGAATCATTTACTGCTGTTGGTGCTAAAATACCAAAAGGAGTACTACTAGTTGGACCTCCTGGTACAGGTAAAACATTATTAGCAAAGGCAATTGCAGGCGAAGCTGGAGTACCATTTTTTAGTATTTCTGGTTCAGAATTTGTAGAAATGTTTGTTGGTGTTGGAGCATCTCGTGTTCGGGACCTTTTTAAAAAGGCTAAAGATAATGCACCTTGTATTGTTTTTATTGATGAAATTGATGCTGTTGGTCGACAAAGAGGCACAGGCGTTGGTGGAGGTAATGATGAACGAGAACAAACATTAAACCAACTATTAACTGAAATGGACGGTTTCGAGGGGAATACTGGAGTTATTGTAATAGCAGCTACTAATAGGGCTGATATTCTGGATTCTGCTCTTCTGAGACCAGGAAGATTTGATAGGCAAGTATCTGTAGATGTCCCTGATTTCAGAGGTAGATTAGCTATTCTTGAAGTACATGCAAAAAATAAAAAAATGGAATCCAAAGTTTCATTAGAAACTATAGCTAGACGAACTCCAGGTTTCTCTGGAGCTGATTTAGCTAATTTATTAAATGAAGCTGCTATTTTAACAGCAAGAAGAAGAAAAAATGCTATGACTATGTCTGAAATTGACACATCAATTGATAGAGTAGTAGCTGGAATGGAAGGGACACCTTTAATTGATAGCAAAAGTAAAAGACTAATTGCTTATCATGAAGTTGGACATGCAATAATAGGAAGTTTATTAGAACATCATGACCCTGTTCAAAAAGTAACATTAATACCTAGAGGACAAGCTAGAGGATTAACTTGGTTTACTCCAAGTGATGATCAAAGTTTAATTTCTCGTTCTCAAATACTGGCTCGTATTGTAGGAGCACTTGGAGGAAGAGCTGCAGAAGAAATTATTTTTGGGGATGCAGAAGTTACGACTGGAGCAAGTAATGATTTACAACAAGTTACTTCAATGGCAAGACAAATGGTCACTCGTTTTGGAATGTCTAAAATTGGTCCATTATCATTAGAGAGTCAAGGGAGCGATCCATTTTTAGGAAGAGGAATGGGAGGAGGATCAGAGTACTCCGATGAAGTGGCTACAAATATTGATAAACAAGTAAGAGAAATTGTAAGTGAATGCTATAAAGAAGCTAAAAAGATTATTAAAGATAATCGAGTGGTTATGGACAGGCTAGTCGACTTACTAATCGAAAAAGAAACAATAGAAGGTCATGAATTTAGAGATATTGTGAAAGAATACACAGCTATTCCTGAAAAAAATTACTATATTTCTCAATTTTAAAATTTTTTATTGTTTAAAACGGGACTGACGGGATTCGAACCCGCAACTTCCGCCGTGACAGGGCGGTGCTCTAACCAGTTGAACTACAGTCCCAAGAAACTCATATATAAATATTCTCACAATAAACTTCGTATTGTCAAATTTTTTATATATAAGGAGAGAGAGGGATTCAAACCCCTCATATATAAATATTCTCACAATAAACTTCGTATTGTCAAATTTTTTATATATAAGGAGAGAGAGGGATTCGAACCCTCGGTACGGATTTAACCATACAGCAGATTAGCAATCTGCCGCTTTCGACCACTCAGCCACCTCTCCATTGAAATAATATGTTAGTATTGTAACACAGATATTAAAACATTTATGGAGCTAAGCGGATTTGAACCGCTGACCCTCTCAATGCCATTGAGATGCTCTACCAACTGAGCTATAACCCCTAGAAGTCTAAGTAAATGGCTCAAGCGGGATTTGAACCTGCGACCTTGGGCTTATGAATCCCCTGCTCTAACCACTGAGCTACTGAGCCAGATATGTGCTATTACTAATTATTATACCATATAAAATTACTGAATTGAATACAAGAATTAATTTCTTATTTATAATTCAGAATATTATGACTTCACTTATATTCTTACTATAAATGAATATAAATTTTTAAGTATAAGTATTTAATTTAAGAAAAATTTTTATACAACTAACATTGAACCAATACCTTGATCAGTCAATATTTCTAGTAAAAGAGCATGATCAATTCTACCATCTAAAATATGTGCAGATGCAACGCCTTGAGCTAGAGAGCGAATACAGCAGTCAACTTTGGGAATCATGCCTCCAGAGATAACAGCTGTCTGAGTTAAATCTCTTGCTTCTTGTATACTTAAATGACTGATTAAAGTTGTTACATCTGATGGATTTCGCAAAATTCCAGGAGTATCTGTTAATAATATTAATTTTTCTGCGTTTAAAGCTGCTGCTATTTCTCCAGCAACTGTATCAGCATTAATATTATAAGACTGACCTTGCTTATCAGCAGCAACACTAGCTATGACTGGAATATAATTATTATTTATTAAAATTTCTAATAAATTAGTATCAACATTCTGTACCTCACCTACAAAACCAAGTTCAGGTTTACCACTTGGTCTTGGAATAATTAATAAACCATCCTTTCCTGATAAACCTACACTCTTACCACCTTGCTTATTAATACTTGCAACAAGATCTTTATTTACTCTACCGACTAAAACCATTTCTACAACATCCATAGTAGGTTGGTCGGTTACTCGAATACCATTCTCAAATTGAGGCAAAATTTTTAATTGGTCTAGCCAGAAATTAATTTCTGGCCCACCACCATGAACTAGAATAGGACGTAAGCCAATAAAAGACAAAAACACTAAATCACTTATTACTTGATCTTTTAATTTTGAGTTCTTCATAGCAGCTCCACCATATTTTATTACAATGATTCTAGAAGAAAACTTTTGAATATATGGTAATGCTTCGCTTAAAACTTTTACCCTTTCTGTGTTTGTCAACATGAATAAGATAAAATTATGATAAATTTATTTGTAAGACTTATATTAATCTAACAAATAGTAATAACTATTTCAAGACAATTAAAAAATAAACATAATACGAATAAATTAAATACTGCAATATATAAGGATTATAGTTATGAGTCAGTTTTGGGACAATATTGTAAAATTTCCACGATTTTTAATAAGTGTTATTTTAGGATTAATTTTAACAATTATTAGTCCTTTTTTCGTGTTATTTAGGAAACCAGTAACAAGTTTTTTTTTCATCATATCATTTACCGGCTTACTGGTGATTTTAACGGCAATAATACAAAAAATGTTAAATATCGAGGGTTGTTGAGTATAATAAATAGATTTAATTAAAATTTTTGAACATATATAATATTATATTATCATTAAACAAATAATTCTATTTTTTTTTTTTATGTAAAAAACAAGTATAAAAAATTTTTATGACATTAAAACAAATAATTAGTTCCGAAAAAACTGGTGCTTTTGCTCTCTTAGATAGTATCGTTCGTCATGAGGTTGAGCATATATTTGGATATCCTGGCGGAGCTATCTTACCAATTTATGATGAACTTTATAGTTGGGAGAAAAGTTCACTAATTAAGCATATTCTTGTAAGACATGAGCAAGGTGCCTCACATGCAGCAGATGCTTATTCTAGATCAACTGGGAAAGTTGGTGTATGTTTTGCTACCTCTGGACCAGGTGCCACCAATCTAGTATCTGGTATAGCTACTGCCCATATCGATTCTGTTCCTATACTAGCTATTACTGGTCAAGTTGGAAGACCTTTCATAGGAACAGATGCATTCCAAGAAGTTGATATTTTTGGTATTACATTACCTATTGTAAAACATTCATACGTAGTCCGTGATCCTAGAGATATGTCTAGAATTGTTGCTGAAGCATTTTATATCTGTAAACATGGCAGACCTGGCCCAGTCTTAATTGATGTTCCAAAAGATGTTGGATTAGAAAAATTTAATTATTTTTCCGTTGAGCCAGGACAAATTAAAATTCCAGGTTGTAGACCAATATCAAATTTCAAATCTCGTCAAATAGTAATGGCTGCGAAAATGATTCAACAAGCAAGCCAGCCATTGTTATATATTGGAGGTGGAGCTATAATTTCCGATGCTCACGCCATAATTAAAGAACTAGTTGACTTATACAAAATTCCAGTAACTACTACTCTTATGGGAAAAGGTATTTTTAGTGAGGATAGCGAATTTTGCTTGGGTATGCTCGGAATGCATGGGACTGCATATGCCAATTTTGCAGTTAGTGAATGTGATCTTCTAATTGCCTTAGGAGCCAGATTTGATGATAGAGTAACTGGTAAGTTAGATGAATTTGCTTGTAATGCTCAAGTTATTCACGTAGACATTGATCCAGCCGAAGTTGGTAAAAACAGAATTCCTCAAGTCGCTATTGTTGGTGATGTCAAAGAAGTTGTTACTGCACTCCTGAATTTGTTGAGAACTAATTTTAAGCCTTATCCAGAGCAAATTATATCTTGGCAAGAGAGAATACACCGTTGGCGTCAACAATATCCTCTTTTAGTACCTAAAAAATCAACTAGCATTTCACCACAAGAAATACTTGTGACAACGAATCAATTAGCTCAAAATGCTTATTTTACTACTGATGTCGGTCAGCATCAAATGTGGTCAGCACAATTTCTTAAGGTGAAATCTAAACATTGGATTTCTAGTGCTGGATTAGGAACAATGGGCTATGGTTTGCCAGCAGCTATTGGTGCCCAAGTAGCACACCCTAATGAATTAATAATTTGCGTTAGTGGTGATTCAAGTTTTCAAATGAATATGCAAGAATTAGGAACTATTGCTCAATATCAATTACCTATAAAAATTATTATTATTAATAATCGTTGGCAAGGTATGGTTAGGCAATGGCAGCAAGCATTTTATGGTGAAAGATACTCTCATTCGCGAATGACAGAAGGAGCTCCTAATTTCCAAAAGCTTGCTGAAGCTTTTGGTATTAAAGCTTTCACTGTAAATAATAGACAAAATATGAAATCCTCTTTAGAAAACGCAATGAAGTACGCTGGCCCTGTTTTATTAGATTGTCAAGTAACTGAAAATGAAAATTGTTATCCAATGGTTGCACCAGGAAAAAGTAATGCACAAATGATAGGAATAGCAAAACCACAAAGAGGAACTGCTTCTAATTATGTTAGTACAAATAGTTAATTAATAGCCTTTGACGAGAATCGAACTCGTGACCTTCCCCTTACCAAGGGGATGCTCTACCACTGAGCCACAAAGGCTTTTTATTTCATTGGGCCGGGTTGGATTTGAACCAACGTAGGCGAAGCCAGCGGATTTACAGTCCGCCCCCATTAACCACTCGGGCACCGACCCTAGTTAATTATCATTCATAATATCATAATATCACAATTGTGTATCTAAAAACAAGTGTTTTTAGATATTATCTTGCGGAGTAATGGACATGGCTGGACTCGAACCAGCGACTTTCACGATGTCGACGTGACACTCTAACCAGCTGAGTTACATGTCCAAAACTTTAATTGATATTATAGCACGTTTGATTATTTTATTATCATACTTCCTAATCAAAAATTTGCTTTAAACGGCTAGCTTTACCTAAAAGATTTCTTAAATAATAAAGTTTGGCTCTGCGCACTTTAGCTCTTCTTATAACCTTAGCAAAAGTTACGCGTGGTGAATTAAGAAAAAAAACGCGTTCAACACCAATACCTTGAAATGAGCACCGTAATGTTAAACTATTATTTAAGCTTTTTCTTTTTTTTCTAGACAATACAACGCCTTCACATAATTGCTCCCGAGTTTTACTTCCTTCTTTGACTAGTAAGCCTAATCTTATTGTATCACCAACTTTGATTTCTGGTAATTCTGCTTTCATTAAGGGTCTTTCTATGCTCTTCATGAGCAAACTTAATTTTATATTATTGTCTTTCATTTAAAGAATTGAATGAATAATGTTTTGTTGCAATATTATACATTACAAAAACAAATATAGAAATTGTTAATGAGTATAAACTTTTTTAAATAAGATGATACAAATAAAGAATTAACATAAAAAAATAATTGGAAACCTTAAGTATTCATTACTTTTGTGTTATAGTTATTTACTATCAAAGGTAGTGGCATAATATGGAACACAAAAAATGTTCGAACGCTTTACTGAAAAAGCTATAAAAGTCATCATGCTAGCACAAGAAGAAGCTAGACGCTTAGGTCATAACTTTGTTGGTACTGAGCAAATTTTGCTAGGACTAGTTGGTGAAGGTACTGGGATTGCAGCCCAAGTCTTAAAGTCAATGAATGTTAATTTGAAAGATGCAAGAGTCGAAGTAGAAAAAATTATTGGACGAGGATCAGGTTTTGTAGCGGTTGAAATTCCTTTCACTCCTCGAGCAAAAAGAGTATTAGAATTATCCTTAGAAGAAGCACGTCAGCTAGGTCATAATTATATTGGAACCGAACATCTATTAATGGGCTTAGTTAGAGAAGGCGAGGGCGTAGCCGCAAGAGTACTAGAGAACTTAGCAGTCGATGTCTCTTCTATAAGAGCAGAAGTAATACAAATGCTAGGAGAAAATGCTGAAGCTAATGTTAGTGGAAGTAATGCGACTCAAGCTAGGAGTAAAACTCCAACTTTAGAAGAGTTTGGTTCTAACTTGACTCAAATGGCTATCGAAGGCGGCTTAGACCCCGTAGTAGGAAGGCAAAAAGAAATAGAACGAGTAATTCAAATTCTAGGTAGGCGAACTAAAAACAATCCTGTTTTAATAGGTGAACCAGGAGTTGGAAAAACAGCAATTGCTGAAGGTTTAGCGCAAAGAATTGCGAATAGAGATGTTCCTTCTATTCTAGAAGATAAATTAGTTATTACTTTAGATGTTGGCTTATTAGTTGCAGGTACTAAATATAGGGGAGAATTTGAAGAGAGACTAAAACGCATTATGGATGAAATTAAATCAGCTGATAATGTCATATTAGTTATTGATGAAGTTCATACTTTAATTGGCGCTGGTGCTGCTGAGGGTGCAATAGATGCAGCCAATCTGCTCAAACCAGCTTTAGCTAGAGGAGAACTACAGTGTATAGGAGCAACAACATTAGAAGAATATAGAAAACATATAGAAAAAGACCCTGCCCTAGAAAGAAGATTTCAGCCTGTTGTTGTAGGAGAGCCAAGTGTCGAAGAAACAATTGAAATTCTGTTTGGTTTAAGAGATCGTTATGAAAAGCATCATCAATTAACTATGTCAGATGGTGCCTTAGCAGCAGCAGCTAAATATGCTAATCAATACATTTCAGATCGTTTCCTGCCAGACAAAGCAATAGACTTGATTGATGAAGCTGGTTCACGAGTACGTTTATTAAACTCTCAGTTACCGCCAGCAGCGAGAGAGCTAGATAAAGAACTTAGGGCGGTATTAAAAACTAAAGATGAAGCTATTCGAGCGCAAAAGTATGAAACAGCAGAGCAATATAGGGCTAGAGAAATGGAGATTAAAGCACAAATAGCCGCAATTGCTCAAAGTAAAAAAAATGAGCCTGATTTAAATCTTGAAGATCCAGTTGTAACAGAAGATGATATTGCTGAAATTGTTGCAGCCTGGACGGGAATTCCTGTAACTAAGCTTACTAAGAGTGAGTCAGAAAAATTGATGCACATGGAGGAAACACTTCATGGACGTATAATTGGCCAAGATGAAGCTGTTGTTGCTGTCTCAAGAGCAATAAGACGTGCAAGAGTTGGTCTTAAAAATCCTAATAGACCAATTGCAAGCTTTATTTTTTCTGGACCTACAGGTGTTGGTAAAACTGAGCTAACAAAAGCACTTGCATCGTACTTCTTTGGTTCAGAAGCTTCAATGATAAGACTAGATATGTCTGAATATATGGAAAGACATACTGTGTCCAAATTAATTGGATCTCCTCCTGGGTACGTAGGATATAGTGAAGGAGGTTATTTAACTGAAGCTGTAAGAAAAAAACCATATACAGTAATTCTATTTGATGAAATTGAAAAAGCTCATCCTGACATATTCAATCTACTACTTCAAATTTTGGAAGATGGTAGATTGACAGATGCTAAAGGTAGGACTATCGATTTCAAAAATACACTTCTTATTATGACTTCTAATATTGGATCTAAAGTTATTGAAAAAGGTGGTGGCAGTTTAGGATTCGAATTATCAGAAGATCAAACAGAGTCCCAGTATACAAGAGTGAGATCTTTAGTAAATGAAGAATTAAAGCAATATTTTAGACCAGAGTTTTTAAATAGACTTGATGAAATCATTGTATTCCGTCAGCTAACTAAAGACGAAGTTCGAGAAATTGCTGAATTAATGCTTAATGAAGTTTTTGCAAGAATCAAGCAGCAAGATATTCAACTAAATGTAACAGAGCGCTTTAAGGAAAGATTAGTAGAGGAAGGTTATAATCCAAGTTATGGAGCTCGACCATTAAGAAGAGCAGTAATGAGACTATTAGAAGATAGTTTAGCGGAAGAAGTCCTGTCTGGTAAAATTAAAGCTGGCGATAGTGCGGTTGTAGATGTTACAAATGAAGGAGAAGTTACAGTATTACTAGGTGAAAAATTAGAATTATTAACCTGAAAACCGTAATTATATTATAAATAATAAGCATTTAATATTATATACATTAAATGCTTTAAAAATAAAAAGTCTTAATATGGGTTGCTATAATTAGTAACCTCTGATATTCTTTATTTGTATATGATTAAGCCGGGATAGCTCAGTTGGTAGAGCAGTGGATTGAAGATCCTCGTGTCACCAGTTCAAATCTGGTTCTTGGCATATTTAAACATTCAAAAAATTAGCTAAATTAGAATCAAATTTTAACTGAAATGTTCCTAGTGGACCATTTCTATGTTTTGCTACTATGATTTCTGTCATATCTTCCATTTCTATTTCTTTATTATAATAGCTTTCTCTATATAACATGATCACCAAATCAGCATCTTGTTCTATAGAATTATGAACGATAATATTATTTGCAATGAAATTAGGTATAGGATAAGTTGTGAAATCAAAAACATTTTCAAATTTAGAGATACGGATAGTGATAAGAGGTTCAAAATTACATAATGAAAAAGATAGGCAATTCAATAAATACTGTTTTCTTTTATTTAGTTTAAACTGTAATTGAGTAGTAATCATATCATTACATAATATTTGATCGCATCGTTGCCAGCCACGTAATGTTAATATTTTATGATTACTAGTTAACTCTAAATATTTATCTGAGTTTGTCCTAACTTTATATGTGGTTTTCCTATTTTGCCTTGATACATATGCTTTTCCTATCCCAAATATTTGATTAATCTTTTTATTGAAATTATATACTTGAGATTTGTGAATACTAAAATCAAAAAAAGGTTTACTAATTTGACTACACATAATATAGTTAAATTTTGATATGCATCCACTCTCTCTCAAATCTGATAATAGCGGTCTTTTGTTATGACGACTTTCAAGATTTCTATTAAGTTGAGAGAGAACTAAAATAGGTAGATCTAATTCTCTAGCCAAGATTTTTAGTGATCTTGTAATTAGTGAAAGTTCTTGTGACCTATTGTTTGACTCTCTACTATCTTGTAATAATTGTAAGTAATCTATAATAATTAGCTCAATTTTTTTCCCCTGCAACTTTAATAATTTTACTTTTGTCTTTATAATATCACAAGAAATTTCTGCACTGTCATCAATATAAAAATTTAAATTAGCCAAAATCTTGCTTTCGTCTACAACGTTTTGCCATTCTATATTAGTCAACTTTCCTGATTGAATTTTTTGACTATTTAAATGACATTCCTGAGCTAAGATTCTTCTTAATAACTGTTCTGTAGACATTTCTAAGCTAAATAATATTACATAATATTGGCTAGTTTTAATAATATTTCTTGTAATGTTAATCGCGAAAGCCGTTTTGCCCATAGAAGGCCGCCCTGCAATTATAATTAGATCAGATTTTTGAAAACCATTTGTAATTAAATCTAACTTAGAGAAACCAGAAAAAATACTATTACTGATACTGACTTTTTTTTTTGTATCAAGATTAACTAGTAACTTGGCAAAAGTTTTGGCTAAATTATTCGTTTCTTTATCCTCTAAAACTTCATAGGCCATTGTTAACTGATTAGTGGCTGACGTTATTGAGTTTTGCATAATTGGTTCTCTGGAACAACTAATAAGACATAATGCATCACCAGATTTTAATAGCAATCTTTTAATATAATTATCTAGAATAACTGTTGAATACTCGTATATAATATTAGACGTTGGTGACCTGTCAATTAATTTTATAATTGTTTCCAGTTTACCTAATTGTGTCACTAAATTTTTTGTATTTAACATAGACAAAAAATTTGCTAAACTAATTTTGTCAATTGGATTAATAGTTTCTAGTATTGCTCTATAAAGTAAAGAATTGCTTTTAAAATAAAAAAAATCTGGTGATAATCTTTCTATGTGTTTTAACAAATCATTTAATTCTTGA